TAATTTTTAAAGAGTATCTTTTAGAGATCAAAACAAATATAAAAGTTGAGACATAAAAATATCGATTGAATCTTATTTATTAAGTTATAAGCAATTTAAGTTTGCGTTAAATAAAATAAGACAGAGATAGAATATGATGCCAGACTTTATTTTTTTAAAACTTTTTTTTTTTAAGATAAAGAAATTACGTATTTAATCGAAATTATTAATTTTGAACATTTAACTAATTATAATATTTAAAAACGAAATGCAATTTTTATATTTTTATATTTTTGTATTTTTGATCTTTCATCTTATTTTGGTTTGAATAATTCCTTTATATCTCAACATAGCCAAATATATATAGGTATATATCTTAAATATGATACAATCTTAACATTATTAATTTGAAATATGTTTAAATTTTTTATTTAAATTATATTTCTAATTATGATTATTAAAAACCATTTAATAATTTATTTATATAATAATTTATATAATAATTTAATAATTTATAATTTATTTAATTTATATAATTTATATAATAATTTAATAATTTAAATTCTCATATGAGATTTTTCTCAAAATAGATTTATCATCAATACATTTTTATATCATATAATACATAATAATAATAGTTACATAATCTCATTATCATTTTCATATTACATATAATATTATCGATTGAGATTGAAATCAAATATCATTAGAACAAAAAAAATTATAATTAAATTTAGCGATAGTCAATTATTTTGACATAAGAATTATAATTGCAATTGATTCATAAAATTCAAATTTGATATGAAATTGATTGTCCGACATTTTTATATAAAAAAAAATATATTTCAGAGTCAAATTCAATTTTTATTATCTGTATATTCAAATTCAAGTTAAAATTAATATTTTGAATATTCAACATTTAGATGATAAAAACTCAGCCAATATTCAAATTTAAATTAAATAAATATCCAATAATTAAATTAAACATCGAAGACATAAATAACTGAATATAAAAATGATTATCGATGAAGTTAATCAAAATCTTAAAAATTTAAATATATATTATTTTTTTGTTTATTATATATTATTATATAGTATATTTATATTTATAAATAATATGTATAAGAGAGGATAGATTCAATATAATGTGAAAATATATTCTTTATGAAATTTTCTATACATATAATCTTTGTCGATATTTTCAATATCTAATCTAGAGAATAAATAATTATAAGAATAAATTCTAATCTATCTAATCTATAAAAATATATATATATAAATTATCAATTTTATTATTAACTTTATTAATTCTTTGCTTAATATTTAGAATCCATTATAAAAAAATAAAAAAATATTAAATATAAATACAATTAGAAATAAGAAATTAATATTTAAAGTAGATGAAATTAAGTTGCAACATTTTATTTTTTTTCTTTTTTTTTAGCAATATTCATTAATATACACGCATATATAAAAAAATAATATTAGACGTAAAAAGAAAAGACAATAATGCAATAATGTATGAGAAAAATTTTATTTTAGAACTACATATCTCTCGATAAAAGAATGCTCCAGATAGAGTCCCTAATGAATCGTTTTAACCCATTTTCTCAGCTTTGAATAGCAGGATTTCCTGTGACATCTTCTACACCGTCGAAAATAAAACCGTTCCGTCATTACACTGCAACTGTATATTTTGTTCCAAGAGATTTCCATGGATAATGAAACCGTTAAGTTTCCTCATTTTAAAATTGATAAAATCTTCTTATTTTAGTTATATAGATGATTAAATAAATAAATAGATACATAGCCATTAAGTTATATGTACATATAACAATTTTATTATTTTATTAAGTATTCATTCGTTAAGAAAATATTCTTTACTGAAAGAATTTCATAATTATTCATTCATTTTCATTATATAAAAGTAATTCAAAGAACACTAATATATAAATGTGCAAAAAGATTAGTTATTTATTTAAAATTAAGAGATTATATAAAAATAAAAATAAGTAATTGTGAACAATTATCTGACAGTTATATTTCACTGTCATTGTGGCTAATTAACCCTTAAGATCACGAGTTCTAAAAATCTACGTAAAAACTCAAGCAAAGTCACTGAGGTTCACTATGGATTTTTCTAAAATTTAGCATTCTAGATATGTATTTCAAATATTTAAAACTATAGTAAAATCAATCGAATAATTTTATTAAATACTTTTTAATATTAATATAAACAATATTTAAACAATTGACATAAAAATTGAAAAAAATTATTATAAAATATTAAATAAAAATTCTCAAATTATTCCA